ACAAAAACCCCGTGGGAAAAAATAACCTTGACTGGGAAAAAAAGATTATAGCATCAAGATAGGCTTCTTCCATTAAGACCATTTTTATTTGATCCTTGCTTTGATCATTAAAGTTTATATGTGTTGTTACCTCATTAAAAACCTTACCAAGTAACAAAACCTGGTGGGAAAAATAAAAATTGGTTAAAGGAAAAGAGCGTAACGTAGTGTATGTGGGGAGACTCCCCCTCATGTCTATATCTATCCTTAATATTTACATTAATCAAGGATATTTGGAAAGTCTATGCATTCCAATACTTTTTACGTTAATCACCATATCGAAGGCACACAAATAGATCAGAGGAATATATTTCCTTTAATTCTCCCCCCTGTGTGCCAAGTATAAGGTGATAAGAGTAAAAAAAATTAACTTGCTAAAACCTTGACAATGAAAAAAACCCAATGGGAAAAATAAACATCGGTCAAGGGGAAAAAAATATGATGCACTAATAAGCATGCGTCAATTACGTTTGACTGCGATATATTAATTATGTTCTTCCTTCAACATAATTTTACCTTTGCAAAATTAAAATGTGGGATGATGCATATTATGTTGCCTCAAGAAAAACCTTTCCAAGTAACAAAACCCATTGGGAAAAATAAATCTTGATCAAAAGGGAAAAAGAGTACAAGGCACCAATATACTTGATGATGAATAAGTATGTAAGGACTCCCCTTGAGCAGGGATGGATTTAAGGGGGGGGGGGGGCGACCGCCCCCCTTGGACTTTCAAAATTTTCTACTATGTATGTAATAGTTTCTTAAATTTGTCACACTTTAATTAGATTCGCCCCCCCTTAACTTTTAGTTTTCAAAATTAATAATAGTCTTACATAATGTAATAATTAATTAGTGATTTAACAGAAGATATATCTAAAACAATTTACATAAATCACACATATACACAATAGGCATAAGGTGCAACTATTTCTTGTTAATTTGACAAGGGTCCGCTCACAAGACCTTAATCCATGGTATGGTTCAATGATGTGAAACTCATTGTGATGAACAAATTTAGAACACAATAAACTTTAGCGACTTCTAGATGCATTTAGAGGTCGGCCAGGAGGATACAATTCATTTAGATAAATGATACGGAGTAATAAATATTTATGAAGTTCATCGCCTTTAATCAATCATAAATTATTATAAAGAATTACTTCAATGAATAAATATTCATTGCCTAATTTATTGTGTATCATCACAATTGGATAAAACACTTACTAGTTATGGGTTGCAATAATTTACAAATGTCACTCATATGCTTTAGAGTGTTATGATATCAAGCAAAATGAGGATATATATCATTCTACTATTTATGGATATATTCCTTTGTATCCATTTTGTTATGAACAAAATTCATATATATTCATTTAATGAATCTAAATATCCATACATGTCTCAAACATAATTTGAGATAAGCATTGAGATATCAAATCAATTTATAATCTCAAATAAATACACATAATTTATACTGAACTTCAAGACTCCAAATAAAAGTCCAATTTTAGGAGTAGTAATTCCCAAAATTTTAAGACTCATAAGAGTTAAAAAAAAAAGAATAAATTCAACAATTAGAGAAAGTTCTTATTCTAAACATAATGGACAAAAATTAAGTCGAATTTATATTTAGTCTCTCATGTGATGAATCTCTTGTTTTTCAAAGATTCGATGAGGATTAATACTAAAATTGTACTCCGTATTACTCAATTATGAGATTATTACATTTGACCCTCTTATCTTCAAGGATTTACTTCGAAATTTATATTTTCGTATTCTATTTGAAAGTTTCTTTATCCAAATAGCTTTTAATTTTCGTGGTCCAAAAATAATTGTTAATACATTAAAAAAACATAATAACACTCAATATCATTCAGTAGCGCAAGCTAAAAAGCTTTTGAGTGACATACTGAGATTAATATTGGTTCATTAGTACACTTTTAGAAGTATTTGCAAATAATTGGATATTTCTTTGTCCAAATAATGAACTTTTGTGATTTACTTCACAAAAAAAATGTGTTTTAGGTGTAAGATGTGCCTAATAAACTATTGACATTTTTGTAATGTATTCAATTGATCAATATTTCCGTACCATGCAATTTTAGTGGTCTCTATCAGATGGATGAATTTGCCTTTATCATCATACATCATAAAATTTTATAGCAAATACTTAAAATCATTCATATGACAAGTTTACTTTGCCTAATTCACATACCGAGAATACAATGTTTATATGTGAAAATTGGTTTGGTAAGTCCAATAAATTTCTACCAATTGCTCGCCAAACGCGTGTGCTAGTATAATTTAAACAGCTTTGCGGCTAGCGGCTATATATATATATATATAGAGGAAACTTCATGTCAGACCGGCCTGACGGGCTGCTCCGTCCAGCCGAGCCCGTTTGGGAACCTTCTCGGTGAAATTTTTTGATGAAATTTTTTGAGCATGTTCCTCATCAAGTCTAGTTTGTCCATACCAAATTTTAGGGGGTGTTTGGATCTGATTCTCAAAACTGATTCTGCTCCTTCAGGGAGCAGAAGAAAAAGCTGGAGTGTTTGGGTGAAATTCCAGAAGCACTTCTGGAGCTCTAATTTACTCTCAGAATCAGTTTTTTTAGAAGCTGGGGGTACCAGCTTCTGAAAACTGATTCTGATTCTGCTTCTGCTTTTAAAAAAGAAGCAGAAGCAGAATCAGTTCCAAACACCCCCTTAGCTCAAAATTCGATCGGGAAGGCATTCAAATCATTTTTTGAAGTTGACTGCAGTTTTATATGTATATTTTGACGCAGTTGACTTCAAAAAATGATTTGAATGCCTTCCCGATCGAATTTTGAGCTGAAATATGGTATGGACAAACTAGACTTGATGAGGAACATGCTCAAAAAATTTCATCAAACAATTCCACCGGGAAGGTGCCCAAACGGGCTAGGCCGGACGGAGCAGCCCGTCAGGCCGGCCTGATGAGAAGAACACTCTATATATATAATGTTCAAATACAGGTGTAAAATGGGGCGATCAAAAAAACAATTAGCAGTATACTTGATACTCCATAGAATGAAATGTTTGTAATAGAATGCTCCGTACACAAAGTAAAAACACAATGACTTTATGTAAATATTTTTCAGGTAATTGAGATTGATATGAAAAATATATTTTGAACACACACACATATATAACATAGAGACTTTTCGATAATGTTTATTCTTGCATCAACCGTGTGTGTGGTCCGAAAATTATACCGTAAAGCCGGTTGTACTGTGCGCACGGTACAACTGGCCTTTTTAGGGCTTCTGCGCTTCTCGCCCGGCTTCTCCGATCTTCGTCCCTGATTCTGCGTTGCTCTCCGATCTTCGTCCCTGTTTCTGCGCTGCTTGTGAAGGACTTCACGCACCAAGCAGGCCACTCCTCTGGCAGCTCTCTTCTCCTCAAGCTCTCCTCTCGCCACTCTCTTCTCCTCTTGCAGAGCTGTGCAAGAGACGGCGGCTCTAGGCGATTTCTTTGTTGGTCGGGAAGAAGTATGCAGGGAAGACAAATTGGAAGATGATTTAGGAGATTTGAGTTCATATTTCTTGATGACGAATCTAGAATGAGTTTATATTAAACTCAAATGAGTATAAGCTTAAAAAGAATGAACATACACAAATGAATATCAAGCATATTAAAAATGAGTTTTACCTAAAACTCAAATGAGTATAAAACCGAAAATGAATGAGCACACACAAATGATCTTTTGAATTTTTTATACTCATTTTGTGAGTTATGTCTGCTCATTTGGTACATCTTTATGCTCATTTCAAACGTATCATACTAATGTTAAACTCAAATGAGTATAAGGCCAAAATGAATGACCATACACAAATGAGCTTTTAAATTTTTTTTATACTCATTTTGTAAGTTATATATGCTCATTCAGTGTTATTTTATGCTCATTTAAAAAGAACACACTTGATGCTCATCACAATCGCATAATGAAAATCATTGGTACTTATAATTTCAAGTTGATGCTCAATAAAAATATCTTGATGTTCAATTAAAAGTGCTTATGATTTTCATATCAATTCTCATTTTATAAGTTATGTATGCTCAATGGGTACTCATGTTATGCTCATTGTAAAATGGCATAACAATGCATATTTCAAAAGCATTAAATTCGCATACTGAAGTTCATAAGAGTTGATAGTATATAATTTAATAAGTTTTTATAAAGAAAAAAATAAGGAAAAGAAAGTAAATTCGAAGAAATGAAGTAGAGATCACAATGCTCATTGTTATGCTTCTAATGCTCAACATAATATGTAGCATGCTCATTAGATGTGTTTTAATGCTCATTTAGTACAAGACGCGAATTTCATCTAAATTACAAAAAAACACCATCGGCTATACCATTCTTCCGCTAATACTATATACACTTCCGGCTGTACTATAGGTTGGTTTGCAACAACTTTAAAAAAAGCACTTCTCAGCTTTTGGCTTAAAAAAGCACTTATTTACCAAACACTACCAATTTTTTACTTTTCTCGGCTTTCGTGTCAAAAGTGCTTTTCCCCTTTTTATACACCAAAAGCACTTATTTTACCAAACACAACCAACTTTTACTTTTCAAAATCACTTTTTTCTCAAACACTATCAACTTTTACAACTAATCACTTTTTCATTTCATCTCCAAAAGTGCTTTTTTTTAAGCAGAAGCTGTTGCAAACACTCCCTATATACGCTTCCGCGTGTGGTCTTATATATATATATTTATTTTTACATCGGAACGTTCGTCTTTCAATATCATAATTATTCACAAAAAAAAGATTACCAAAAAGTTAAAGTATAATAAAAAAGGAAGGCTTTAATTAAAGAAAAACTTTGATGACTGAATATATTGACAGTGCAGGATTGCAGTAAAAATTGAATTGACGGATTGAATACGTATAAATTGGTTGGAAATTTAATTTATTGACGGAAACGGGTTGCGGTTAGGCTAAAGAGCACGTAACACGGTCAATATAAATTCTGCCCAACAATAAGGTCTAGCGACAAGCCCCCGCCTCATCAAAACAGCAGGAAAGAGCAAGGCAGGACGAAAGATGGAAGAAGAAAGCAGTAAAGCTAAGAACAGGCCGCACATAGTGAAGGAGAAAGACTACTCCGCGTTGAAAGAGCTGTTTGCTCATCATATAGAGTCGTTCGACTATATGATTGACCAAGGCCTCGATACCATGCTCTTGGCTATCAAACCCGTCGAGGTTTCTGATCCCTTCTCCGGCCACAAGCTTAGAAATATCCTCTCTGTCGTTCAAGTTTTTCTTTACTAAATTTTTATTGTTACTGAAGCACTAATCCAATTGAATGTGTAAAAAATTGATTTTTTGTACCACATTCGTGCTTTGCAGAGTTTTATAAGGCACATTTTATATCAATTTACGATGTGCTTGTAGTTCAGCTTCTTAAATCCTTCAAGTTTTATTCTTTCATATTGAGTACAGTTTAATTTCAGTCTCCTGTGTGTTTGGAAGTGTGGTTCTTAACTTATAGTGTACTTTGGTTTGGTCAACCTGAAATATTCCCCCCTCAAAAGGAGCGTGGTTACAAGGGCGTACAAGATGCTCTCTATCCTTTTGAGGCAAGTTCTTACATGTACATGTGATTTTAATGCACACCATCGGATAATGCATTGAAATTCTGATTTGATTGATATTAATGAAACAGTGTAGGCAAGCTAAACTTTCTTACACGGGCAAGTTTACTGTGGAGCTTTGTCTTCAGTATGATGATGGAGCTGTTGTAAGAGAGAAGTTCAATTTAGGACATTTTCCTATCATGTTGAAGGTTTGTACTTTGTGTTCAAGCTAAATATTTTTCACGACTTCAACTGTAAGGTTAAGAAGGGAAACAATTGATATACTTTCAATTCATTGCAAAAGATGTTTCTCAAGTTCAGCTGTATGGGTCTTATCTCCTTAAGCAACTGTAGAATTTCCATCTGGAGATTTACATGGTAGATACTAACAAGAATATGTATAATGTAACAACTGGTGAGAGTTACAAAGTAGCTCTTAACAACAATTTTTGAAAAAGTAATAAATAATATTGGCACATTGCCTGTTGTAAAAAGGCATTGTTATGCAAAATACATTGTCCTCTAATAGTAACCATAGTTGTCAGCTGACTTCCATTTGTTTACTGTTTACATATGAAAACAATTACATATATTTATTTCTTGTAGTCAAACTTATGTCACCTGAGGACCACTGACAACTCCCAAAAGTTAATCTCTCTCAAGGAAGAGCCATCAGAAATGGGCGGGTAAGACAACTCAATGCACTCCTGGGTGCACCTATTTATAGTATTGGCTTTTTTGTTTGTGGATGTAAATTTTGAAGTGCAACTCTAAGAGTTGCTCACATTATGTTTTTCTAGTTATCTAAGCTGCTAATCTTTATTCCTAGGTACTTCATTTTGAGTGGTCTTGAGCGAGTGGTTCGACTTTTAATAGTGCCAAAAAGAAACTATGTAAGTGTATATAGTATATATATTGTGTGTGTATATTTAATGCCAATACGCTTGGATCTTATAATACGCTATCTGAATTATGGATATCTTCTGTGGTCATGGTGTTTTGGTTTATGCATTATCTTCCAGCCCATGAGTATGGTGAGGAATTCATTCCGTGATAAGCGAGAAGGGTATACTGATAAAGCAGTTGTGATAAGGTTGTCATCTCCACATTCTTTTTGTCATTTTGTTTTAGTTTTTACTACAAAAATTGGTGGCAATGGATGTTCAAATGTTAAACTGTGAAACTGTGAACTGAGTTGAGTAAACATATTGTTATATCTGATGCTTAAATAAGCTGATCTACATTTACGCAACATCAACAACATGTCAACAACAATAAGAACATTAACCCAGTGTCGCAAAGGCTCCCACCTACGGTGGGGTAAGGGGGGGGTCAGATGTACGCAGCCTTACCCCTGTATTAAAGCATGGAGAGACTGTTTCCAGATGACCCATGATAAAAATCACGTCGAAAATTGGATGGATTGACTGCAGCTTCACAACAAAGCGCGGACAGTTTAGTGAGCCATTTTGCTTTATTCCATCATATTCCCAAGTAAAAAATAGCAAGTCTTTGGCTCCATTGGAAGTGATGGAAAATCAAATATACATTTAAGAGCAGGATAAAAATATGCCTCATTTTTTTAAATTAGGAATTGTTAGTTATCTGCTTGATTAAAAAATATTCTGTCTAATTATGAGTGTTTGCATTCTTCCTTCAGATGTGTTAGAGAAGATCAATCTGCAGTTACCGTAAGACTGTATTATCTTATTAATGGAAGTGCACGACTTGGATTCTGGTTAGATTTTGAGAAAGTAAAACACCATATGGTTTTATGCAAGATGATTCTGGAAACTTTAATGAGTGCCTGTTTTTTGTTAGGATACAAGGAAGGGAGTACTTGCTTCCTGTTGGTATCATATTAAAGGTATAAGTTGTTGCCTACTAATGCGCTTTATTATACATCTGCGTTCAACAACATAAAATCTAGTGCTGCTGCATGCTTTTAGATAAGGCGACATTTTTGGTTGGTTTTCGTGGATTAATGGGCATGATTTGGCTCAGTGGATTAATATTTAGTGTCAATTGATCTGAATATTAATGCCTATTTGGTAACCTTCTTTTTACCCTCAATTTCTTAACTGTGTGTACCACTCCCTTGTGGTAGAAACATTTCCAAATTCTAGGAAAACGAGTGCTTTTAAGTTATAGATATTCATGTATTATAATATCCTGAAACATTCTTTAAAATATTTCCATGCATCATACTCAATTCCACTACACTACACCTACTTTTACTACAACCCATTGCCTTTAATTACACAGCACCCCATCCATCCCAAAATCTCTTATTTACACTCCTTGCTCAATGCTCACCTTGACCCTGCACCCACTTTAGTCCTGAGTGTTCTCTAATATGCCCAAAATCACTTTTCCATGAGACCTTCACCCTATAGTTTATCTGATTAAACTGGCTCCCCGCTCTACAGCTTAACTCCCTCCAGTGATGCACCTCTATTTATAGATAAAGTAAATGTGCAAACACTTCCCGTAGCCTAACTCTATCCAGTGATGCACCTCTATTTATAGATAAAGTAAACGTGCAAACACTTCTATTTTCCCTTATCATAAGCAAGAAGTAAGATTCATTAACTTTATTGCGGGAACTCCATAAGCATAAACATAAAAAATTGCTAATTGGGTACATGCAAAAAAAAATCTTCCTTACTACTCCTTAATTTTCTGGCAGGCCCTTGTTGACACAACTGATCGTGATATATATGTTAGTTTAACATGTGTTTATAATGAGATTTATGATCAAGCAAAGGGAGCTGTTGGCACCCAGCTTTTTGGTGAAAGGGCAAGCATTATCTTGCATGAAGTTACAAGCCTCTCTCTCTTCACACGTAGAGAATGCCTCCAACATATTGGTACTTGTTTTGATTAGCCAATTGGAGCACTCTTTATACAATGTTAACAATGATGGCTCAAATTAATATTATGTTGTAGGTGAACATTTTCAACCTGTTATGTCCGGAATGGAAAATGAAAGTTATTCTGCTGTAAGTTGCATTATTTTTTCTTCTGTTTAAGCTGTGTCACGGTGATATTTAGATAATTTATTGAAAGACTATCAGAATACCTTATTTTGTATCTCTTTCTTTTGCAGGTTGCTGAAGCTGTTCTCAGAGACTACATATTTGTCCACTTGGATAACAACCATGATAAATTTAACCTGCTGATGTTGGTTTCTTTCATCTCTGTGTTTAACTTTCAGCTCTTTTCCAAATAATTTTTTGGTTTTGGTATGAAATGTTAATCTCTAGGTTGTTGACATCATCCTTCTATCATCTTAGCTTCATGCTGCAGAAGCTTTTTTCTCTCATAGATCAAACATCTGTTCCCGACAACCAAGACTCTTTGCAGAATCAAGAAGTTTTGCTGCCTGGCCACTTGATAACAATATATCTCAAGGTAAAAGATCTTCCTTGGCTTTATTTGGAAACGTCTTACTAGATCTAGTTGAACTTTTATCCAATGTGTAGACAAAGATCTGTGCTTTCTTGATGTTGTTCAAACTCTTCCTTTGGCAACTGTGGCATGCATTTTTTCTTTTCTTTTTTGTCTTTTTATTTCTTTTTTCCTTTTTATCTCTTTATTTATTTTTTATATTTCTTTTCTTCTTTATCTTTTATCTTTTATCTTGCCTTTTTATCTTATCTTATCTTTACCTCATCTTTGTTTTTTTTTTATCTTATCACATCCTTCTTATCTTCTTAGCTCCAATTTCAGTTATCGTTTCATCTTAGCCGACCCTAAATTCTCTTGGGGCTTAGTTGATTTTTTTCTGTTGTATATTTTTCAGGACAGGCTTGAAGATTGGCTGGCAAGGACAAAACAGTCACTCAAAGATGAAATTGTCAGCAAAAACGTGAAATTTCAATTTAGCAGCTGTATGTCCATTTATTATTCCTATAATTTCTGATCTTATGAGAAATAAGAATTACATATACTTTTCCGATTTCCATTATTGTGTGCATGTGTTAATGCTTTCAATTTAGCAGCTGTACAGTTTTCTGTCAAGTTGTTAGCTTGTCATCTCCCTCTTTGTAAAATTGTAACTGAGTATCCATCAACCACCAAACCCTAACCATTATTGGGATTGTGCTTAGCATTTGTGTATAAGATTAATAGTATGTAGGGCATTTAATTATTAATTCATCAATGCATACAATTTTTACTTTCTAAGGCTTCTCTCTTCAGATAGTTGCGGGTTGTCTCTGTAAGATTGTCATATACTTTTTTGGTGAACCTGATAATTTTCTTGTCATTTGTAGAAGAAATAGGCAAAGAAGAAATTGGTAAAAATGTCCACCAATGGTCATACCAATTAATAACTGAATTGGAACAAATATCGTATTTCACAAATCTACAAGATGATCATGATAGTTGTTCAAGAAAACTGATAAGTATATTAATCTCTGAAGAGCCTAAGACTATCAAAGATAAGACCACAAACAAAGATTAGAATACAAAAGATACAAATATTCATACTACAAAGAAATCTGGATCCGACAATGATGAGAAAGATACAAATATTAAAACTAAAATATGAATAATGCCATTGGCTACTTGAAGGGCGGTACCAGTATTGAGAATCTTTATTTCTCTATTATATTTTGAATACGCTCACGAATAATATTACACCATACTAAGTGAATAATGGGCCTGGTTTGTACCAATTCCCTAACCAAATAGATTTATTTTTGTCCCATTAATACCTCCAATTCTGGATATCAGAATATACTTTAGTTATAGATTTTTTTCCCTTGTCTTTTTTCTAAAGAGATATCCTTTAGTACAATAGTGATATGGCAGGTCAGTCTTTTATTGGATAACTACGCCTGCGAGCCCGACACTTTAGTTTCTTTCCAGCAATCCCCTCATTCACTTTGGCGGTACTAATAACTAAGTTGGCCTCATTTGTAGCCATAGTGTAACTCGTTTGATGCGGCTGAATAAACAAGTTTAAAGATTTGATAAACGGCACAATAGAGCATCAGTTCTAATATCGTAAGTATTTCCTCATAGGAATGCCCACAATTTTGGTGAATAACTCTTCGTGCTTTATTAGCCGACGTAGCAAAATACAAATACGATTTTAACTTCCAATTAGATAAGAAAAATATGAAAAAGAACATTGGTAATTTCAAAGATAACTCTTATTTTTTATGCCGCTACTCAGACTTGAACTGAGATGTGCTAGCACTGCTTCGCCTGAAATAATATTGTTTTAGTAAAGCACTGATCCAGAAACAGGCTCATAAATACCATCATTGTCCAATGGTGGAGCAGCAACGAAGGCAATAATAAATACAGAAGTTGTGGTCGATAAAGTCGTGATCAAAACTCCAAACCATTCAATGAAGACCATTTTCAGTGCTAGTTATCCTTTGTTTGCTGTCTCTTTCTTCCCTGGAGTGTTTGCAATGCTTGTTTGAATAAATTAACAAAACTGTTAAGTTCAGACATTAGCCTTTACCAAATGCCAAAGCCTCATCTATGGAGATACACACACAAGCACTGCATATTCAAAATTATCTTAATATTTCGGCTACTTTTCTCACCATGCACAGCTGCCTGATACCATCTTTGACCTGATAATCTGCCATCTTGGTTGCCATAGCTACTTCAAATCCTACCTATAATACCATTGCTATCATGACCTTGAATAGACTTGTTGGGAGTTCTTTGTTCTTATATGCATCATCTACAACAGTGATAGGAAAATTTCAGTGATATCAGAAAGAGAGTTAGTGACAACATTGATACCAAGCTCTACATGGTATAATTATGGAAATATGGACGTTTTTACTTGGACTGGAATTTTCTGGTCCGAAGTGGTCTGATCTGGTTTGGTAGATGTCTGGTCTCTGCGTATTGTACAATTGTTGAAGTCTAGTTTGGTTTGAACTGGTCTGGTCATGTCTGAGATTGAAATAAGTTCAAGTAAAAACATTCTAATTATCTTCTTACCAATCTTCTAAATCTCGATGTTCAATCCATAGTAACGATAGCCAATGGTCTTCAAACACCTGATAGCATTAATGCCAAGTACACTCATTCTAGTGTCCATTCACTTCTTTCATGATTTGCATATTGAGTTTGCATTACCAATTTGTAATTGGACATATATATTTCAATTATCTTGACTCATTGCCGTCTTGTGATATTATATGCAAGTAGGTTGCCACTATCTTGACACATCACCATGAAAGTACATACAATGATGGTTTTGAAACATTAGCTCATTATTTCTTCATATGGTGTCAACCGGGCGCACACTTGGCGAAACACACTTACACCCTGCTTTTGCATGAATTTGTGCTGTTAACTAGATGTAGACTATTAACTGGCACTACACTTCTTGCCACTGACCTTCAGATAGTTGGGATTAAAGTGCAAGATGGTGATGGGTTTGGAGCATACCTTGGACTTTTATGTAGCAGTAGTGAAAACAATCGCCGACTACCTAATCAGCTTCCTATTGCATGATTTAATTTTATGGAATATGTTATGGTTACTTGGGTAGGGACTGCGTGTGTATGCAACTATGCATATATCTGTTTATTTGTATAGATCTCCGTCTATGTGAACATTAAAACACTTTAAGCTGATTTATTGCAGTAGCTGACGTTAAGAAAGTTCTTGACAAAAATGGTCCGAGACAGATCGGTTTAGCTATCCAGAATATGTTGAAGACTGGGAGACTAGCCACACAATCTAGCCTTGATTTACAGCAGGTATTGCTTCAAGAATCTGATATTTGACGCGACTAGTGTAATATAGTGGCAAGTTGTTTCATATGTAGTATTGATAGTCACGTCTAAGTTTTTGTGATTTAATTACCAACGATGGAATGTGGTGGAGCCAAAGACTCACTATGTTTTGGCTTGCGAATATGATGGAATAAAGGCATAAAGCAAAATGACTCACTAAACTGTTTGTGCTTCTTTATGAAGCAGTAATCAGGCCATGCAATTTCCAACATGATTTTTATCATGGGTCATCCGGAAACGGTTTCTTTGTGCTTTGGTACAGGGGTAAGACTGCTTAAATTCATCCCCCTTACCCCATCGTAGGTGGGAACCCTTTGTGGCATTGGGGTAAAGTTCTTGTAGTTGTTTTAATTACCAATGATGTCTAGGTTCTCATGCATATATAAACAATAAACCTCATTCTACAGTTATACAATTCTGACGTGTTGAAAGGCTTTGGAAATGATAATAAGATGCTCTCAATCTTTCATGACATTGCAATCTGCATTTTTTCTTGAAATAATATCACCTTCTTGGTTGCCTGAGCTGTGTAATTGTTGGTTTGTTGCTCATCACCCTCCCCACCCCCCATAGGCAGATAATCCAGATATATATGAATAATGAATTCAATATTTTCATTTTTCCTATTTTTTTTTTTTTAAAATCCCGGTGTTATTCCACAAACTAGTTGTGGGGTAAGGGCCGAGGAACACCTTACCAGTCACATAAAACAAGAAAAAACAGGGTAGGGGGACTAAAGCCAATACCTACCCGAATTTACAATGTACGGATAACTAATTGCGTCAAACTTGAGAATGCCTACGAACTTACTATAAATGTTCGGGTTACAATCAGAAGCATCAAAATATTTTGCAATAAAACTAGCTGCGCGATTACATGGTTTTTTAATGTGATTAAAACAAAAATTGCTATTCTGAAACACTTCTTTAAAAGCTTCCAAGTTGGCAATCTCTTTCCATCTCGGTCTCTCCCTTCCTTTAAGTGTCTGAATAACCTGTGAGTTGTCACATTCAACGATAACATTAGAGTGTTTTTCTTCAGTAAGGTAACCTTTAAGATTGATCAAAATATCACAAGTATTAGCCGTAGCATTATCAAGTTGAGAGGCTGCCGACATATAGTGTAAAGGATGACCGTGGTCATCACGAATAATAAGACCAATAGTAGTCTTGTTGTCCCTGAACTTGGTAAAAGCAATGTTGATTTTAATAAAATCAATGGGGGGTTTGGCCCAGCTGGCAGACTGCAAACTACCTTTCCTAGGTTTCACCTTCAGATTAATCAGCTTTATATCATTCATTTTTCCTATGTTACATAAGAAGTTTAAGATTTGCTAACCTAATGAAAATTACTGTGTTTGTTAGAAAGCTGGAATGACTATTCTGGCAGAAAGGCTAAATTTTCTGCGATTCCTTTCAAATTTTAGAGCTGTTCACCGAGGTTCTGCGCTTGCTGGTCTTCGTACTACAAGTGTGCGAAAATTGTTGCCAGAGTAAGTATTTTATTAGAGGATGACTTTTTTTTTTCAAGCTTTGTCGTGATTGAATGTGCTTAGAACTTTGGATGTTGTTGTTGTTGTTGCTGCTGTTGTCGTGATTGATTTAATCATACTAACCACATTTCTTAGCCTTTTTAATTTTCCATTGTGGCTTCTCTCATTTACAGATCATGGGGATTCTTATGTCCTGTTCATACGCCTGATGGAGAACCATGTGGATTGCTAAACCATTTAGCCGCTTCTTGTCGTAAGTTACTTTGTTTTGGTTCTGTGTATGTCAGTCTTGCTTTATATACACTCTGTGTATAAGTATATATATATAAATATAATGTGTAATTGTGTATATCATGTTTTCATAAATATAAATATACACTTCTGTGTATGTCGTATGTCGTAAGTTACTTATTTACATACATACTTATATGCCCCTTTTCTGTATGGTCACTGCACTGTGGTTATAAACGTTAATGATGTACAGGTATCACTTCATATTATGATGCCAAAGGAAACATCAAAGACTTCTTAAGAATAAGAACAGCAATCATAGATGTGCTAAACAATATTTGTTTCATGAAATCTTCATTGCCAAAGCTTCCGAGGGCTGGCACTCCTGAAATGCTCACTGTTCTTCTAGATGGTCGTGTTCTTGGCTCTGTACCACTGGACCTTGCTGAAAAGGCTGTTACTCATTTGCGAAGACTGAAACTATCAGCTGTATCGCCGGTTCGCTACCATCACCTTGTTTGCAATCTTTTCTTCTTTGTTTAATCCTTTTCTCCCATTTCTTAATTTAGACACCATGCATAGCAGATTCCCTTTGACTTGGAAGTGGGTTATATACCTCTGAGCATGGGCGGGGCATATCCTGGTCTATTCCTGTTCACATGTCCTTCTAGATTTATCCGACCCGTTAGAAACATCTCTGTTCCTCAAGATGACAATGATATTGAACTCATTGGTCCATTTGAACAGGTTTGAGGGAGATCTCTTACTCTATTGTGTAAAGAAAAGAGGCAGTGGCTGCTGTTTCTAATGTTTAAGTCTTCTATTCCTGTCATATGATAGGTGTATATGGAGATAAGCTGTGCTGATGGCAGGGATGGAGGAAGAAGAAATTTGTTTCCTGCCACTCATGAAGAAATCCATCCAACAAATATTTTGAGTGTTGTTGGTAATTTGACACCTTGGTCTGATCATAACCAGAGTCCCCGAAATATGTATCAGTGCCAGGTTCTACCCTGGTACCTTTATATATATACTACATTTTAATTAATTCAACTTTTATGATTATGGTCAAAATTATACCTTAAATGGTTGAACCTTTATGGTTCTTGTACTTTGCAGATGGGTAAACAAACCATGGGGTTTTCTTCACAAGCTCTGAACTGCCGTGCTGATCAGAAGCTCTATCATCTTCAGGTATCTGGGGATATTGATTTAGTACTCTCTTGCTAAGCAATCATAAATCTCATTAATGCAAGTTAGTGTATGCCTATTACTTTTCTGCTCACCTTTTTCTTTTGAACTAATCTGTTATTTTTTATTTCATTCCCTAAAAGGCTAAAAGTTTCTCTTTTGGGATTAAGGCTTGGATGTTGTTTGTTGTCTCTAAAAGTGTCTCTAACTCTCGAAGTAGGAAAGTAATTTAGCCTCCCATTTAATTTCTAGCAGTCTCCAATGCACATGTTTGAATGTTGTTGTCTTGTTGATCATTCATATATTTGAACACATGTTATTAAAACTTACAAAGAGTTCATATTTTGAAAATACATGCTGTGAATCTGTGATGAATTCAACAGTACCCCCTTAATAATATTTTTCTTTTATATAGATGTACAATTGTACACATGTGATCAAAATTTAACTATATGAATAGTAGCTGCATAAATATGGGATGAGAGGGACTCACATTATTTTAGTGAACAGTCGTGACCATTTTCTTTTTTGTTATCAATTATCAATATAAATCATTTGCTTGATTGTTGACTAAATTCATTTGTTATGTTGTAATTTACAATTTCATATGAATTGATTGTTTTCAGACCCCACAGACCCCCATTGTGCGTACAAGAGCATATGAAAAATATTGTATTGATGATTATCCTTTAGGAACAAATGCAATTGTGGCAGTTCTGGCTTATTCAGGGTAAGGTTATAGCTAGTAGATATCTTACACATTGTACAAGAATCATATCACAAAGTATCTTTTTTCCTTTTTACAGATATGACATGGAGGATGCCATGGTCTTAAATAAATCATCTGTTGACCGGGGGATGTGCCATGGGCATATTTACCAGGTATTTACCTTTCTTAGTTCCAAGAACATTTCTGATACCAATTTGATGTTTTTGCCATATATATTTATTTTCATATCCCTATGCCTGGAATTGGGCCAGCAGTGAATATTATAATGTCGGAGTCCCATGCTAATATGTAATACGTATTTCATTGTGTTATGGTTCTGAATATTTGAGAGGTGGGGTGAAGATGCGGGGAGGAGTGGGAGAGGAAGACCCAACTGAAGTGGATTAGAGGAGTCACGAACCGGGAGTGATATGCTTCTTCTTGGGTTGGGTGAGAGTATGACTTTGGAGAGAGCAGAGTGGAGAGAGAATATCCGTGTGGATGATTGATCTTTTTATCCTTTTATTCTATTTTATCTTCTTTATCCTCCTATCCTTTTTATCTTATATTTTTATCCCTTTTATCTTAACATTTTTATCTTTATCTTATCCTTTTTATCTTTATTATCCTATCTTATGTTTTTATCTTTCTTATCTTTTTATCTTTCTTATCTCTTTAGCTCCAGTTTCATGTGTCAATCAGAACCATGTTAGCTACCCCCAAACTCTTTTGGGTCTAAGGCTTGGATGTTGTTGTTAATGGTTCTGAATATCTGACTTTCAATTTTGTAGACAGAAACAATTGATTTGGCTGAACGAAGTGTTAGGTCAGAGCGTGGGCAGAAACTGTTTAGGAGAAGCAATACTGACAAGCAATCTAAGCAGCTGATTGACTCTGATGGACTTCCATATGTTGGACAGGTTATACCATGCTTTTTTCTCAAGATTGTGAATCACTCAACCACCACTCACTAGGATTCGTCTGATGAGCTAAAAGGGTTCATTTGATACTAAATGCAGAGGATCAGTCCAAATGATTCATATTGCAGTATCTTCAATCAGATAACAAGTCACACACAAGATATTAAATTGAAAGGAACGGAAACTGTTGTTGTTGACTATGTTGCTGTTGATGCGAAAACCAAAAGTAGTATTCAAAAGGTGAGTCAAATATTAGATTTTAAGATTTGATATCTCGACGTTTTAACTAAATTTTATTTGCAATGACTAACAACAGTAAGCTATTGCTTTACATTGTTAAACTTTATTCCTTATTGACAGGCAAATATACGTTTTCGGCGTTCTAGGAATCCTGTGATTGGGGACAAATTTAGCAGTAGGCATGGGCAAAAGGGTGTGTGCTCGCAGCTATGGCCAGATATTGATATGCCTTTCTCTGGAGTTACAGGAATGCGGCCAGATCTAATTATTAATCCTCATGCATTCCCTTCAAGGATGACTATTGCTATGCTTTTGGAATCAGTTGCTGCCAAGGTACAAGTTGATACAAATTTATAGTTGTGTTTTTCTTCCATCAGCAAGACCTTTCGAGGTTATTTTTGCAGTGAAATATGGCATGCAAGTTCCTAAAGTGCTTATTTCTTTGAGGTGTAGAACGTTCATGAAGACAATTTTTTTTTGTTTAATTAAACACTATAATCCAGAATTTTGCGTTATTGGTTCATAGAATGACCGATTGGATGAATTGTGATTGAAGCTTTTATAGCAGATTAGAACTAGCGGAATTTTTAACTAGGATTAAGATCAAGTCAGAGCAATGTAGTTGAGCATTTGGGCCACTCCAATTTCAATGCTAGGGCTGTTGTAAATACATTCTAAATGTGTGCTATCTTTGTGCACACATTGTACTATTTCCGTTCATGAGTAACACTTGAAATTGCGCATAATACTGTTGACATATGGGCAAGATGGATGGTTTAGATAAACAATCATTCTTAAAGGTTCACATAATTTAGTTTTTAGGAGTTCAGTTTTTACTCTTTAATTTTAACTCCATTTTTTAGTTGTCCATGATTATTTTACGATTTCGTGATGGTAGTGCACTGGTGTCACACTTATGCTTTTATTATATGAACTTGCTGCTCGCGCTTATCACTTTTCAATCTAACACGTGCTAAATAAATGGCTTTGTAATGGTACACAAACCTAATTTGTGTGTTGACTGCCTTTGTGCTATCATGCTTAACATATTTAATTGACTTATCTTTTTATGTCTTTGCGACACTGGGGTAATGATGATGATGATGATGATGATGATGATGATCTTTTTATGTCTTGCCCATATCATTAGTGAAATTTTCACTCAGCTTTGACACTTTTAATGTTAAACGATGAATAATTTGTGTATGCAACATTTTACTTCAGGGAGGAGCTTTACATGGGAAGTTTGTTGATGCAACACCATTTTCTACCTTAGTTGAAAATGACAATAAGGGACCAAAATCTGATACAGATTCACTGGTTGACGATCTTGGTTCTATGTTGAAAGCACGTGGGTTCAATTACCATGGCGTAGAGGTACTTTATAGCGGATTTTATGGGACAGAATTGACATGTGAAATATTTATTGGGCCTGTCTATTATCAAAGGCTTCGGCACATGGTTTCAGATAAGTTTCAGGTATGCTGGTCATTGTAATCCAAACTCTGTATTTGCATAACCAGTTACATATTCAAACAGGGTCACACATGAACCATACAAAGGTCAAAATAGGCACAGAAAGAACATGTCACTTGTTTGTGTTTTCTATTAGTCTTAAAAAAGTCAAGGGCACAGCTATATATTTCGTTATTTCTATTGCCCATTTTCACTATCGCAACTTAACTTTCAATTTTCTCACTTCTGCACAGCTCACAGTTTTTAGTTCTCTTAGGGGTCAGTGGAAGAAAATTGGCATCATAAATGATCAAATCTCAGGACAAAAAATGTCTAGAAACCCAATTTATGCACCAAAGGTGGAAAAATAAAACATAGGTAACAGTTGTAATTATGTGATAGTCGTGGGACTAAAAGTGAAATTTCATTAACTTTCTGAGTGAAACTGAAGTTTGGGAAGCCAAGACCCCCCCCCCCCCCCCCCCCCGCTGTGCTCCAACCATTATGTGTGTGTGTGTGCATCTCTATATATGTGTATGTACAGGCACACACATATACTCACTTGACTAACTTGAGGCATGCTTGTACTGAAGGTGCGATCTACTGGAACAGTGGACCAAGTCACTCGACAGCCCATCAAAGGGAGAAAACGTGGAGGAGGTATCCGGTTTGGAGAAATGGAGCGAGATTCCCTTTTGGCGCATGGGGCAGCATATCTGTTACATGACAGACTACATACCAGTTCTGACCACCATATTGCCGACATATGCTCAATATGTGGAAGTGTTCTCACATCAACACTCATCCAGCCGCCTAAACGTGGAATGCGAGAGATAGGTCGTGAGCTTCCACCTGCCAGAGACTTCAAGAAGGTTACATGTGTTGCGTGCCAATCCAGCAAAGGAATGGAGACCGTCTCAATGCCCTATGTATTTAAGTATTTGGCAGCAGAATTGGCAGCGATGAACATAAAGATGAGTCTTCAGCTGAGTAATCATGTGGCAGGAGCTTGATAGCCCATCATTTCCAGCCCTTTTGTATCCTGCATTATTATTTATTATCCGAATACCAGCACAAAAGGTGCTGCTATTTATAGTAACTTTGCTTTTTTACAATGTAATTTCAATCATGAGATGTTTGTCTTCTGGGCCACTACGCAGTTTTTTGTATCGAGACGATAGACCAAGATTTTGTAATGAAATTTCTTTTGTTGGTCAATGTATAGGTTTTTGTGTAGGATTAATAGGATAGTCTCACAAGATTCAAGGCCGACTCGTTAGTGTAGTTATGCACCAAACTTATATTATGGAAGTAATGGAACAGTTGCATTCACGTATGGAATGTCAATTATGTTTTGGGGGACATACTGCTCTAAATTCTAATTAAGGACTGAGTGTTTGCAACAACTTAAATTAAGAGCTTCTCAGCTTTTGGCTTAAAAAAAGCCGATACAAGTGTTTCCAAATAATTGAATTGAAATCTAGGGATGATTATAATGAGAAATTATTTATCTTAAACTTAAATTACCCTTTCACTTCTCTGTCGCATCTTCCGCAGGGACGGATGTACATAGAGGGGTAGGGGGGCATGGCCCCTACCAGCTTTTATATTTTTTAATAGTATTAGTATTAAATATGAAATAATTAGAAAAGTCCAGACCAATTACCTGATAGAAGCCTCTATTTGAGATGATTCCATGTAGAATTTTTTCAAGAAATTTTATGAGCATATTTTTCATGAAGAGTAGATTATTTCAATCAAATTTTAGCTTAAAATTGAATTGGGAAGTCAATTAAAAAATTATAGAAAAACGTTGTGTTGTTATATATATATATATATATTTTGATTTAATGTTTTTTAAAAATTATTTAATTGACTTCTTGATTGAATCTTAAACTAAAATTGATGTAATAATCTACACATCATGGAGAACATTCTAAAAGAAATCCACCTTGAAGCACCTCAAACATAGGCGCCCGGAGGCCCCGGACGGTAAATCCTGTTAGATACTTTTGATAGGATCATTTCTCATGAAATAATTACATCATCATCATTATCATTACTCCAGTTCCGCAAAGGCTCCCATCATCGGTGAGGGCAAGGGTAGGTCCAATGTACGCAGTCTTACCCTTGTACTAAAGTACAAGGGTAGTTTTGTCAGGTAGATATTATTTAGTCCTATCAAAAATAATTTGATTACAGTTTGCCAAAGTAGAAGTGAATAAGTCTTATTTTGGGAATAAAACAATGATAATCTTATGGAAAAATTGAAAATAATAATTTTGACTATTGCCGGTCCGCTAACAATAATCTCAACTATTGATTATTTTTGTATAATCCCAACTATATGGACGGTCCGCCAATAATGGTCAATGACCAGATAACAAGTGAATTTCAAATAGAAATTAAGCGTAAAAATAAAAGTTGAGATTATTTATATGGATTACTTGTTATATCTCTTCTCATCCACTTTAGAAAGTATAAGAATTTATTTATAGTTGGTCACGTCGGACCATTATTGGTGGAAGATCCCTAAAGTTGGGATTATTATGAGCGGACCGACAATATTTGGGATTATTACTATCAATTACTCCGTATTGTTTTGCTTCTTTGCCCCCCCCCCCCCATGACTAAGTTTTGGCTCCGTCCCTGATCTTCCACATCCGATCTCTGCCTCTCCTCTGCTGCTTCTTCTTTCTCCCATATGCACACACTTCTTCTTTCTCCTCTACGTTTTTGTGGCTTCTCATATTTCTCTATCTCGGTCATAAAGAGCATGCATTTTAGGTATGAGTGGCAAGAATTGTGAATGGAATGGATTTTGGGGAATTGTGAAATTGTTGGCCGATATCTTTTGGGACTAGGCTCTGTTTGCGATCTCTGTTGATAAGTGTTTTTGGCTTTTTCTAAAGAAAAAATCACTTATTTTATCAAACATTACCAACTTTTACTATCTCGATTTTCGTGTAGAATCTACTTTTTACTTTTTCTATTACACAAAAAACACTTATTTTACCAAACACTACCAACTTTTACTACTAATCACTTTTTCCCAAAAAGTGCTTTTATTTAAGCACAAGTGGTTGCAAACAAAGCCTAAGGAGGTGTTTACTTCACTGCTAAAGTCACAGTTAGGTTAGTAAGACAGGTGAAGTAAACACGCACACTGCTTAAAAAGCCGCTTACTAACCGAAAGAGGTGCTTAAAGTGCCGCTTATTAAGCATACCACCCCCCCCATGTATTAATTAAGCGGCACTTTAAGTTTTTTCAGTTTCCGAATTTACCCCTTGCCCGTAACCTAATGTTATCCCTGCCCCACCTCGACCCCAACCCCACCTACCCCGACCCCACCCTACCCTTACCCCACCTACCCTACCCCACCCCGACCCCACCCTACCCTTACCCCACCTACCCCAACCCCACCCCACCCACCCCTACCCTTACCCCACCTACCCTACCCGACCCCACCCTACCTACCCCACCCCTACCCTACCTAACCGACCCCCACCCTACCCTTACCCCACCCTACCTCGACCCCACCCTACCCCACCTACCCTACCCTACCTCACCCCGACCCCACTCTACCTACCCCACCCCTACCCTTACCCCACCTACCCTTACCCCCACCTACCCTACCCCTACCCGACCCCACCTTACCCCTACCCCTACGGGCCTATGGGGGCCTATGGGGTCGGGGGTAGGGTAGGGGTAGGGGGTAGGGGTAGGCGGTGGGTGGGGTCGGGGTAAGGTAGGGTGGGTAAGGGGTTAGGGTTATGAGTACACATATTATATTATATACTTGTGTTCATGAATGTTTGTGTGTATATATATGTATAAGGTTATTTTGGACATTTTAATGTTAAGCGGTGTTTTAAACCGTTTGAAGTAAACACGGTCTTGCAACATTGTTTATTTTATGCGCCGCTTATTAACACGGGTCTTAATAAGCACCGTTTAATAACCGGTGAAGTAAACATGTCCTAAGACTTGGATGTTGTTGTTGTGGAATTGTTGGCCCATCCTCTTTGTTTAGGGTCTTTGGGAGTTTGGGATGGTCGGTGATTTTGGCATCTTTATTGGTCCGTTGAAGTTGATGGTAGCAGACCGATTCAGATTTCTGATGGATACTCCGGAAATATAATACAAAGGACAACATGGTGTTCTAGAGGGGTGTTTTTGTACTCTGATAAAATATTACAACAAAAACCATTTTTATCAAACACTACAACTTTTACTTTTTAATCAAAATTACTTCTATTCTAAAACACTATCAACTTTTACTAATATTCACTTTCTCAAAAATCACTTTAAAAAGTCACCTTTTTTAGGTAGAAGCGAATGCAAATACTCCCCCTTAGTCTAATATAGGTGCGGAATGTATCTACTCCCTCCGTCCCGCTATTAACTTTCTGCTTTCCTTTTTGGGACGTCCCAAAATCATCTTCTCATTTCCCTAAATGGAAAGTTTTCCTACATCAAAACAGTGTCGATCAAACAGTGCAAAACAGTGCCAAATAGTGCCAAACAGTGTCTAAACAGTGTCTAAACAGTAAAGTCAAATTTAATTCCTAAAAATGTGTGAGGGTCAAAGTAAGAAGTTAAAAACGAGACGGAGGGAGTATTATTCTTTTCTGCTTTCTTGCTTTTCTGGTTCCATGTGAAGGAGGAACATCTGCTTTGTCGATTTTTTTTTTTGCTTTTCTTTTCCGATGCAAATCAATTACTCATACGTTTTTTTATTGTCTTTTCTTCTTTCTTGCTTTTATTACTTGTTTCCTTTCTCTCTCTCTTTTTATTTTAATATTTATTCAATTATAAAATATCTTAGATATTAATGTTTTTTTTCTATAGCTCATTTTGTAATTTACATATGCTCATTTGATATTGGTTTTATGCTCATTTTAAAATGTCATATCAATACACAAAATAAATATTGAGTACAATAGAATTGAGAAATGCTATTGGTACCCCAAAATGGGGTACCCCATTCTTACATCGGTCTATTGTGTGGCCATAAACGAGGCAACACATTTAAGTGGTCCCTACTTAAGTGTGTTGCCTTGTTTATGGCCGCACAATAGGCCGGGGTAAGAATGGGGTACCCCATTTTGGGGGTACCAATAACATTTGGCTTTTTAATTTTTTTTTTTGAGAAATGCTATTGGTACCCCAAAATGGGGTACCCCATTCTTACCCCGGCCTATTGTGCGGCCATAAACGAGGCAACACATTTAAGTAGGGACCACTTAAATGTGTTGCCTCGTTTATGGCCACACAATAGACCGATGTAAGAATGGGGTACCCCATTTTGGGGTACCAATAGCATTTCTGATTTTTTTTTCCCTTAATTTTATGTCAATTATTACTAATGCCCCCAACAAAAAAGTACAGTGCCCCCGTCAAACGATTCAAAAGTTGCAAAGAGTCCATTACTCCACTATCATTTAACCTCAAAAAAATTTTTTTAGAAAAATAATTTCCATAAAATAATAGTGTAATATGTAGTCAAAGTAGATCATGTGAACAGTGCAAAAAGTCAACATGTTGCAATTAAAAAGACACATGGGATGATATATGATTTGGGAAATAAGATTTAGAGTCCGTTTGGTAGCATGAAAATCGGCTGATTTTGCTGATTCTGCTGAAATTTATGAAGTTCTGGCTGAAGTGGCAGCATTGGCTGTTTCTGCTGATTTAAGAAAAAAAGTATTTTTAAAATATATTTTATTAATAAAATAAAGATAAAATTATATGTAAAAATAGCTAAAATGATCATCTACAGTAACTTCAGCCAATACAACCAGAAAAGTAACTCCATCCTTACTTATTCTGCTTATTACACAATTCAGCGTGCGTAAGCAAAAATTACGTGTTTGATGAAAAAGTTGACTGATAAGCCTGATAAGTCGGAAAAAGGTGTTGCCAAACGGCACCTTAAATGTACCCTCCTTTGGGAAAAAACTCAATTTTTTTTAGGAAAAATGGAAATTAATAATCCAACCTTTTAGTTGTCTTCTTACAATAGTCCCACCTTTTCGTTATTCAAGAATAATCCAACATTTGCACTCCATCTTCATTCGTTAGTCCCTGACCGGTTAATGAGCTGCTATTCCAAGTTATTTTCTTATCTTTGCAAAATATTATCTTTGTGAAAAGTGAGATTTATGGTATAATGGTTTACAAAGATAAGAAAATAACTTGGAATAGCAGGTCATCAACCAGTCAGGGACCAGCGAATGAAGATGAGGTGTAAAGGTTTGATTATTCATGAATATTGAAAAAAAAGACTATTATAAAAAGACAGCTAAAATGTTGGATTATTAGTATCCATTTTCCCTTTGTTTTATT